TCAAAACCAATTTAATCCTCACAAGACCCAGATGAATACGAAGACTTTAGGCTTAAAAGAAAGCAGCGAGAGAGAAAGAAGAGCTCCCTTGGCCAAGACAACAGATGATCTAAGCAAATCCTGAAATATAAATCATGTGCTCATAGTATCTACCCTACTCTGTCTTGGTGACCCTTTCTTTCTTTGCCCCTATTATTCATCCTAGGGCATCAATGCCTTCATTTTGCCCAAGTTTTCTCAACCTATTACTGCCATCCCACTCAACATTGTATGTTCCCAAATTAGTTATGACCAATTGTCCTCCTTCTCCCTTTCTCTCCAATTCTCCAATAAAAACTCAAATTCTGTCACAAAAGCTGACCTTCACCTGGTATGAGAAGGATCTTGCTAAGACTACTTTAACCTAATTATTAAAGGATTCAAGGACTTGCAATGGAGTATGCGTTTAAGAGGACACTTAATTTCCGAAAGAGGTTTTAATTTATAGGCCTTTCAGGTTGATAAAGGAAAAGAAACGGGAAAGTTTGCACATGTGATGAAGGATAGTGGGTAGCCTAGAGCAGGCGTGATAAATATGTAGTGTACATCCACAAAACCCCTCTTCTGAACCTATGGCAGACACAACCGATGCAAGCCAGATCTCCTACCTGGGGATTTGCAGGCTGCTCTCACAAACCTTTCTAGTGTAAAGCCTGAATTGAGAAAGTGAGGCAGGGAGAGCAGGTAGGCAAGACAGACCCTTCTTGTCACTTCTGCTCTGGGGACTATTCTAGAGTGGGTGCTCATCTCAGCATCAGATTCCGGTGTTCTTCGAAGAACATTTTCTCAACCTTCAAATAAGCTAATTTGGGGATAAAAAGGAATGAGTGTTGATACTGTGCAAGACACTCAGACACTTCTGGGAATGGCTTTCAGCACCAGTTTAAAAACCACCACTTTTTTCTCTTTGACTCTGTTTCCCCTAACACACACACACACACACACACACACACACACACGGTAATTTTAGCATTTATACTTCATTTCTGACCAAATTTTCTAGCCTGACGACCATTCAGAAGTGACACCAAAGTACTTTTTTTCACAATTGACGCCTGTACTTAAAGATTGAAGCTTCACCTTCCACGTGACCCCTTGCTGAGGCACATCTCCAAGCCCGTCCCTGTCTTCTTTCCTTACCCCTGGAACTTATTCTGCTGCGAGGGTCTGAATATTTTTACCAACATTCATGTGTTGGAAGCGTAATCCCCAATGCAGCAGTGGTGGGAGATATGGCCTTTTGGGAGGTGCTAGGTCCCTCATGAGTGGATTAATGTCACCATTAGAAAGGCTTAAGCCGGGCGCGGTGGCTCAGCCTGTAATCCCATGCTTAGGGAGGCTGAGGTGAGTGGATTGCCTGAGCCCGTAGATTCGAGACCCACCTGGGCAACTTGCCGAAACCTCATCTCTACAATAAATCAAAAAATTAGCCAGGTGTGGTAGCGCGCACCTGTAGTTCTAGCTACTTGGAAGGCTGAGGCAGAAGGATCGCCAGAGCCCAGCATGTCAAGGCTGCAGTGACCGGGAGCGGCCACTGAACTCCAGTCTGGGTGACAGAGTGAGACACCAACTCAAAAAAAAAAAAAAAGAAAGAAAGACTTATAAGGGTGATCTAGCTCTCTTCTGCTCTTCTGCCATGTGAGGACATGGTGTTCCTCCTCTCCTGAGGACGCAGCATTCGTTTTAGAAACAGAGACAGAGTTTTCACCAGACACCTAATCTGCCAGCACCTTGATCTTGGACTTCTCAGCTTCCAGAACTGTTAGAAACAAATTTCTGTTCTTTATAAATTATCCAATCACAATTATTCTGTTGTAGCAGATAAAAAGATAGGACAACTGCTTTCATCTCTTTTTTGTGTCTGCTATCGTTTTTCTTTTTTTCCCCAGTGGGTTTCTCTAGGCAAACAGCAAGGTGAAATAAAATCTTTTGCTTTGTGCTCAATTCCTTCCACTTTCACTAATGGCCCCTAAGCTCTTTTCTTTTTGAGTAATTTTCTTTAGTACAGGAAAACAAACCATTCAACAAACAAAACCATCTTTCCCAGATTGTAAAAGTCTTATAAAAGTATCTTAATAGGTATTTATGGCTTTGTTTCTCTGATGCATCTATTTAAATGTCCGAAACAAGAGGCTTGTTTTAATCATCAAGCCTTTTGGTCATCTGCTTGGACTTATTTATTCCTAAGTGTAGTAAGGAATCTGCCTTCAGTGTAGAGAAAGAGATAATCTGTTAGACAATAAACATCGATTTCAAATGACTAGACCCATGAAGGGGTCACATGACCAAAAGGGACATGACATGTTAGTTCTGCTCCACGACCATGTGGATTCACCACATCATTGGGTCTTTTTTTTTCCTGAAAAGGTCAAGTGGTATTATTTCCTAGCCTACTCTTTTAAAAAAACTGTTGGGATTTCACAGAATGTTTAAGCAATTGACTGCATCACTGGAGTAAGTTTATAGTACCCCAAGGGAGCTTTATACATTTTGATGTCAAATGTCTGGTATTTTTGCTTATATAAAGAAAGTAATATCATACTATGTCAAATTTAATGTATATACTTGTACAGAGTACACACACTAATGAATACAAACAAATGTATATCACTTGAGCCCCAAAGTATGTTTAGAGGCATTCACTGTTCAAAGACATTAAATAAGTAAGAATGATAGAATTATATAATAGCGTAATACAATAGGCTGGAATGTTCTGGTTCCTCCTAAAGGTTCCATAGCTGCGTATCAATGTTATAAAAACACTGCCAATTTCAAGTAAACTGTCAGAAAATAAGAAAACTTCTCTCTTAAAAGTAGAGATGCTCTACAAAACACGAATGGGAAGAATGGATGAGCTAGTAGAACATTATCTCACTTAAAAAGATGCTCATGGCTGTGCCAAATCATATTTTTCTTAGTGAGTCACACTGAACAAAAAAAGAAGATAAATCACCATGAAAATGCAAGTGAGCTGGTAATAATAGCCTAGTTATAGCTGCCATGAAATAGTCATTAAGTTATACACAGCATAAATCTCACAGAGTTTTGTAAATTATGGTGGTTCTTAGAGGCCAAATAAAGATAAAGTGTGCTAACTATGGCTGCCTTTCTCTTTGCTCTGTGGCATGGTTTTTAAAAATGTTTTAGCTCAGGCTCATAGTACCCGATGGTTCCTGAAACATCTGAGAAAGAATGAAAAGTTCACAACTCTACTCAAGACCCCCCTTTCACACTTTGAAGGCAGTCCGTTCTAACCAGTTCTTCCCTGAGCTCCTAAGCAGAGTCCTGCCCTGATCTGGCTCAGACTGGGGCCAGACAGGTTTCCAGCTAAAGCCTGGTACTTTAAGTTGCTCCCATTTCCAAGGTATGCTGAGAAAGCAGGTGCAGGAGATGGGCACTGCTGTGGGAGCCAAGCATGCCTCCCTGTGATTTCAGGCCAGCCACCTCAACTCCAGAGACCAGCAATGAAACTGAACCCTCTGCTTCTCTCCGTAGACCTGCACATTAGCAAGACTCTGATTCAAAGACTCCCAGTCAATGTTCCTTTTTGGAGGCTGGTAGTAATCCCCAGTTGATCTTTTTTCTTAACTGCTTCCCCCCCTGCTATTTAAACCAAATTCTTATTGCTCCAAATTAAATCCATTCTTTCTAGCCTTGTCATTGCTAACTAATGAGAACAATTCCTCTCTTTGCTCTTGGTGGCTGCACTTTGGGCACTTACGGATGAGAATCATATCTTTCTTTAGCCTACTTTCTTTAACTGCAGACTGCACAGGTGATAAAATGGGTTAATTGTTGCTATAAAAATATTTTCTATCCTCATAACGAAATAATTTTTCATCCAAGTCATTTTAATTTCTTAGACTTTCATGGCGTTCTTATGATCTGCAGGGACGGAGGATGCAGTCTTTTTTTTTTTTTTTGAGTTGGAGTCTCACTCGGTCGCCCAGACTGGAGTGCAGTGGCCGCTCCCGGCCACCACAGCCTTGACCTGCTGAGCTCCAGAGATCCTTCCACTTCAGCCTTCCAAGGAGCCGGACTACAGGCATGTGTTACCATGCCCGGCTGATTTTTTAATTTATTTTTTATTGTAGAGATTAGGTCTCGTCTGCCCAGGTGGGTCTCGAACCCACGGGCTCAGGCAATCCACTCACCTCAGCCTCCCAAAGGCGCGGGATTACAGGCTGAGCCACCAAGCCCGGCAGGATGCAGTCTTATTAAGCTCACATGTACAAGACCTATAGGAAAAATACTGGATATACAATAAGCATGGATTACTCATCTCTTGGTCACTGTGCTGTTTCCTTCTTGCCCCGCCTACCCTGGCACTCTGGTCTCAGTTTTTATCACACATTCTTTATATCTTTATGGTGACGTTTGCAGCCTACGACAAGAGCCACCAAAGTACAGCCTGCAGCCTATTTTTGTAAGTAATTTTTTAGTTGGAATACAGTCACATGCATTTTAAAAAATGTATAGTCAATATCTGTTTTTACATTGCAGAGGCAGAACTTAGTAGCTCTTAAATATTTTGGACCTGCGATGTCCAAAATATTTACTATCTGTCCCTTTACAGAAATTTTGCCAACTGCCAGCCTAAGGGATTATTAATATTCTACTTGGCCTTGCTGCTTGTACAAGGTAAGAACACAATAGGTAAATCTCTTATTATACCCAAGTAGTCTACTAAATGTTTTGCCACAGACCAAGCCACACAGTGAGGAAAGTAGTCTGAATGGAATTAGTTTATTTTCCTATTCGTGTACATGAATCAGAAGAAAAAATTTTCAATTATTTCCCCTGAGGCATCCTATGAGCACGATGGTTCACATCTGAAAGCAATTTTTACAAGCATGTGCACCTTTGCCGTATCTATCTAGAATGCCCTGCTGCATTTATCTGACTCACCGACTCAGAACACCTGAAAGACAAGAAAATCCAGGCCAATGCTGGGTACTCACTATGTGAAGCTGAAGGAAGTCACCAAGTCCTGGAGCACTGTCGATGCGTACCAAGATGCCATCCTTCACAGTGGTGCTGAAGCCCACGGCAAGGCGGTCAGAGCGTGTGCTGGGCCTGTCATTGGCTGGCCAGGTGTAGAGAATGAGGCCACCACTTTTCCCAAAGATGTATGTAGCACCAGCTGCAAATGCAAGGAGAGAGGGAGACATCAAGGCACTGTACTGCATATAGCCAGCTGTAGGCACACTGTTGAGATTCTGTAAAAGGCAGCTGCAGAGAGGAAACATCCCCCATGGGACAGTATATGGTTATTGAGCAATATAATATCTAAGGTCGTGGAAAGCAGCTAACACCCCAAATTAAAGATGCAGGCAAAATGAATGAATACCAAAGCAGATGCTAGTGAAAGTTGTTCTTAATGGCTTCAGTTCTTGCTGCATAATGGCAGAGACTAAACATACCATGTCTGAGAGCTTTGGTATGTTGTGACAAAACAGTTTTTTGGTCTTCCCCAACCACAGGATTAATTCTCCAACTCTGCTAGTACAGGCACAAGAGAGAAAACTAGTCCCCCAGATCTTAGCTATCGAAATAATCTGGAAAGTGGAGCCAAGAGAAGTTCTAGGAATGTCTCATAAAACCGAAGGCAACAGGGAAGTTCAAGGGCATTATTTCTCTCACACCTGTACCTTCTCCCAACCCCACAGAAAAGAAAGCAGGAGTCTGAGAAAACCAAGTTATGTGACTAAACACATTTGGCTACTTCACTATTATGTTGCTATCAACATGGTGACAAAAATTGTTTCCAGAAGTCTTTTAAAAATGAGTTTTTTTGTTCCCTAGTGGTGCTATTTATCTGGCAGCAAAATAACAGTTTTTGTTTCCCTTTTCAAACTAAATCTCAAGAAGAAGATAATAGGGGGCAGAAAAAGAAATTCCAGGATAATGAATTTTGAACATGACAAGTGGTATTGTCAGTTATGACTCATAGATTTATCAGTATATTTACTATTTACTTGTGATTTTATCATTATCTGTATGAACTCAAGAGTAGCTAAGAATATATTAATTTAGAACAACTTACAAAATAATCAGGAATAAAAATAAAGATAATATTTGTATGTCAGATAATTTTAAAAGCTTATTTTAGGAAATCAGTTTTTAAATCTAAACTGGGGGAAATTATCTAGATTTGGTAGCCAGAATGAACTACACCATTGAAGTCTCTATGGTTTTAGTACCATAACGAGTACTTCCATATGTTACTCATCTTGGAGTTCAAAGGACATTCAGCATCAGATTTTCTTGTGTGTTTCCCAGTGAACATGTTCTAGCCCCTAAAACTATTTTAAAGCAACATTAGACAACCATTTGGATTCTTTATTCACTAAAAATCTCAAGCCCTGACCTACATATATCCTCAGAGCTAGTTTACAGAGAATACTAGGTGAAATTATGTGGACCGAAGAAGAAATGAGTTATTAATCTTGCTTAGAAATAATAAAGTAAACTCCTGAGAGGCTAGAATTAGGAGTATATGTCATATGTAATCCTTTCTAAATCCCTAAGTCTCATTAAATTCTGAGGCCTATAGAATCTAATTTGTCCTTTTTTAAAGGTCACTATCCTATTTGCTCTAATTTGCTGTTTGTATATTACACATAGCATAATATTATTTTACTTTTATGAATTTCTCATTCCTTAGGGGATGGTCTCTGGAAAGCCCTCCACAATCATCTGGAGAATTTGGAATTGTGGTATGCAAAGTTTATGATTAATTCTATATACAAAACAATGTTTATTCCTCACTATTCACAAACACTCTAAGAGCTTCTTAAAATTAGAAATGTGAGCCGGGCTCGGTGGCTCAATCTGTAATACCGTGCCTTTGGGAGGCTGAGGTGAGTGAATTGCCTGAGCCCGCGGGTTCGAGACCCACCTGGGCAGCGAGACCTCATCTCTACAATAAATCAAAAAATCAGCCGGGCGTGGTAGTGCATGCCTGTAATTCTGTCTACTTGGAAGGCTGAGGCGGAAGGATCGCCGGAGCCCAGCAGGTCAAGGCTGCGGTGACCGGGAGCGGCCACTGCACTCCAGTCTGGGCGACAGAGTGAGACTCCAACTCAAAAAAAAAAAAAAAATTAGAAATGTGAGTATCATGATTTACTCTTGATATCTTCCCATCTGTGAAGAATTTAAATAATTCCTCTGTAGATGATTACAAATGTCATCATCACTCTCTTTATTCTTTATTTGGAAAACTGAAGGTTACTCAGTGATTAATGTATAGAAACACAAAAAATGCAAATCAGCCTGTGACATTTCATGGCAATTTATAAAATCCTGTACTATACTATCCTAAATATATAGTGGAGGCTGCTATAGATATAAAGTCATACTCCATCAGGAAATATTTTCAACATAAAAAAGTCCGAAGTTGATAGCAACATATGCATGGTGCTTTACAGTTCTCTAAGTCTTTTCAAATTCATTAGCTCAGATTTTGCAACAATTGTATGGGATATTTTATTTCTTTATACCGTTTTACAGATTTGGAAACAGAGGCTCAAATATCCGATTAAAGTGGTACCACCTGAAGACTCCAGTCTGAGCCTCCTATTTCCCAAAGCCTTTTCCACCACATAGCAATGTAATTGCACAATAAACTATACCAATAAGCTATACCCATGGGACAAAGTCGTCTGTACTTAGCTCTTTACACATCTTCTCCTGAAACCAAAATAGAATGAAAACAAAGCCATAGCACCGAACTCCAGCATGTTTTCAAAAGCCAAACTGGTTGTCTCATCATACAAATACCTTTACAAACTTTCTACTTGTATTTTTCACCTGCTGCCCTAAACAGGAATTCTTCGTGCTTCAGCATAAAGGAGAAAATAATTTTAATAGATAAATATATTACTTCTCCTGTATAAAGGTTAGGAGGTCACAGCAGCTTTAATTTTAAAAATAGATAAAAAAGAAAACCTCACTATGCCAGTATTTGATGAGGTAAATAGAGTTAAAAGACTCGATTTAAAAATCATTTGTATTGCTTTTGTCGTTCTGATTTTATAATGTCACTCTGTTAGATAATTCCAATTTTGTAGGTGAAAAGGGCATAAAAGATAAAAAGTATCTAACATATGGCTTACTTTGCTGTGCAGAAAAAAATATTAAAATACCTGTTCTTGGTAAAGAATTTGCTGGTAAGAGTGAGCCAAGAGCTTGAATGCTACCACAGTCCAATGCTATAGGGCTTTAGAGGCAGTTAGTTTATAATTACAATTTTTCACTCTGTTAATGTTAATTTCTTTCTCTTTACTTTTCATGCTTTTCTATCTTGCATGGTTTGTAAAAGGTAAATGCACACTTTCTGTTAATTTTAATATAAAATGCTTAGAGTGTCAAGAGGACCATGGTATTATTTTGGTTTATATTTTCAAATAAGAAAGTTAATTTTGTTATTTTTAAATGTAGAATACAACTCAACTTTTTGGGAATGTCCCAGGAACCATAAGAATTCTCTTTAATCCATTAAGGATTTTCATTTCTGAGCCACGCAATGCTACATCACATGCTTTCTCCCCTGAGCCTGGTATTTCTGATTGCTGGTTTCTTGTGTTCAAAATGTTGTTGCTAAAATCATACTACTTATTTTAATAATCAGACCATGTAAATTTCTTCCTCACTAGCAAAAAATTTATCAGCTCAACAGAAGAAAAAATTGCTATGGTGGCATTTTGGCCATATAACATGGCAGAATTTGCAAGTTTGCAAGCAGTCAAGGTTGCTTTGCTGAATTCCAAACCATCACAGTATTTTAGGAATGAAATCTCAACACAGTCACCACTAACAAAGATTAAGTGGACACACACCATCTTCATATAGTTAATGAGAATGACTTTTTAATTTTTAACTCACAGTCCACAAATAATGAGCTTGGCTTATTTTTTTCATAACTGGCCAGCTACTTATTGTGATGGAGCCTATGGAGATATTGGCAGAACTAGATTTAATGGTACAAATAGATGCATTTGGTGTTCTCTTTGTGTGTGCTGTAGGGATTGGTTAAACAGGGGAAAAGGATAAGTCTTCAATGCAATCATAAAGTTCTGGGGAGCAGTTTAATGTGATTTTACAACTAGATGATCTATAGTTTCTCAAAGAAAATGGAGGATATAATTTTTTTCTAGGTCACATATTTCTCCAAAGTTCTTAAGTTTTTGGTGCATTTTACTGCAAATTTTATAAGAATATCATTTCTGGTGGCAATTCAATTTTTCTTCATTTAGGATCTCTTATATAATTATGGTTATTATTATTGTTATTTTGATATAAACCCTGTGGGCTTGCCTTTATGGCATTGTTTCTATTTCCAGTTTCATATATGAATAGTATATTACTTTTTAGAAAGATTATCAACAGAAATAGAATTATGGTCTTGTTTAAAATATTTTATTTTTTATTTTTTTGGCTGGGTCTCAATTTGTCTTCTAGGCTGGAGTGCAGTAGCATGGTCATGGCTCACCACAACCTCAAACTCCTGGGCTCAAGGGATCCTTTCACCTCAACCTCCCAATAGCTGGGAGCTATTGCCCAGGCTGGTCTCAAACTCATGGGCTCAAGCAATCCTCTTGCCTTGGCCTTCCAAAGTGCTGGGATTACTGGCATGAGTCATCATACCAAGTTTATGATTCACTTTAGACATAAAATAATATATACATATAAACATACATAGGCATATATTTATATAAAATGTGTCTGTAAAAATAAGGACAGTTTAGTTAGAAAATACAATAGACTATCTGGAATTTATTTATATTCTCCCCATCAAATAATTATCAAAAAATGACCTAAGAAAAGTACTGAAATACAATGTTGGTACATATATCAAACTTAAAATAATCAAACCTGAAATAATGTTCTACTGGTATAAAATGAAATACATTTTGGAAGCATCACCCAGGAGAAGTCTGAGAGAGTAAAATGTAAAGATGACTGAATAACTTATTCATGGACAAGTATAACACAGTAATAAATTAAGTAATAAGTTTGATACATAGGTACAAACTACATGGTAGGAAAGCTAGGACAAGAAACAAGATGTCAGACTCCTACTCTAGTGCTCTTTGAAAACTGCCTACATATATAACATAAAATCTTATGACAGTAAGGTTT